CCTCGGAACGGGCAGAATCCCACTAAAGATAATCTGAGCCTCTATTGACAGAGTTATTAGTGTATGTACACTACCACGGCGCTTCACACACTGCTCTGGGCCTGCTGGATGCTTCTAATCTCACTAAGGGTATGTCTAACCTAGGATAAGGGGTGTTTAACACATCAATATTTTAACTAGCGTGTTTTAGAACCTTAGCATAGATGGGGCAGGTTTTATCTTAACATGATCTAGACTAGGCACTAGAGTAGTATTTAAAGTTGTGTTCACCAACTTGGTCTTAAAGTACCTTGTTTCTGTTGAACCAACAAGTCTGGATTAGGAACAGACACTTCAGAGAAGGACCAAGTGAATACACAACCCCCATTATAGGCTCACCTTCATGACAAGCTCCGAGAACTTGGGAGAGCTGGCTGTTGCTAGCAGACTGTCTTGGAGCAGAACAAGCAGGGCACTGGAGAGAACAAATAGCATTAGATGGGCAAATGCTATAAAGGGATTGGAATAACACCTCCCTACTGAACATCACACCAGGGACTACAGATCACAACTAGTTCAGCTTTCACACAATGCTCTGCACCTCCTCCCTGTCTCCAATATCTTACTATCAGCTCCATAAAAATGGAGAGCTGAATTTCTGCAGAACATATCATGTCAAAACTGTTCAACTGACAGTCCAACGACACAGACTACAAGTTTAGGCTGTAGAATGGTTCATTGTAAAACTTTACCCCAATGATATAGATTGGACAGTGATTTAGTTATTACTGTGCCCCTTTAGATACATCTACACAGCAGCTGAGAGCATGCTTCCCAGCAAGCACAGAGAGACACTAACAGGCTCTGCTTGAGCTAGCGTGCACAAACAGCAGCATGGCTGTAGCAGTACAGGTGGCAACTCAAGCTAGCCACCCAAGTACATACCCAAGGGAGTCAGGCAGGTTTGTATTCAGGTGGCTAGTCTGAGCAGCTGAAGCCACACTGCTATTTTTAGCATGGCTACCTGCACTGGGAAGCACGCTCCCAGCTACTATGTAGACATTTCCTTAGATTCAGGGCCATAAGCTAAAGTTACTGTCCTGATATGCTTGTTTTTTCAGTAGCCAGGTGAACTATTCTACAGCCAGCTTTGCTCACCACTTTAGTTGACAGGCCATTGTCTTGCAAGAGGACTCAATTAGACAGTGACTAACATATGGTAAAAGCAGACTGGAGAGCCATGTTCTCTGAAATCACATACACGAACAGTGACGTGGTATTTCATATGTGGTATAGGACTGTTGTAGAGGAAGAGAACTTGTGTCTTCTCTGATTCTAGCAAAGACTAATTTACCTCAATATGTTGGTCTGGTCAGACTTCTCCAGAACCTTCACCACCAAAAGGTTGACTGATCGGATGACCTGCTGCCCTTCCTCGAGGTCTTCAACCCGTGAATCCAGCATTAATGTAATGAGGCCATGCATTAAGTCTTTCAGCACTCCTGTGGAGGCCTCCCGAGCCAAGCTCTCCATCTGGAATAGCTGCCAATCAAAGCCAGGATTAGAAATTTCTTCAGCATGCACCATTTAGTTTAGGGACTCATCTGGGATTCTACTTGCAACTCCCTCTTTAAAAATGTACCTCTTTCACAAAGTGTTTATATAGTCTATTAAAATGTATGGAAAGAACATTAAAATTATAGAGTCAAGCATTCAAAGGCATGAAATACCGAAGTTAAGGCTGTACATGTAAATGTTAGTTGGTTTTATTTTGAAAACATAATATGTAAAAATGGTTTCTTACCCCAAAAGATCTACTCCCCGTGTGTGTATTGGTCAGAGCTACTGATTTCAATGACTAAAATGGAGATTCACTATATTTCCTACTCTTGGCCCTCCTGAGCCAACCCAGCTCAGAGGGAGAAGCAAGTTTCTACTGCTTCATTTGTGTCAAGAATGGTTAAAATAAAGCAACTCTATTACCTGTGCAAACGCGTGGGGAAAAAATATGAAGTTGCACTGGACCCTGAGGAGCTAATTTGACTTGCAGACCTTTATTGTTGGTGGCAATGCAAGAAACTGACAGACAGCACCAGCTAAGATAGAACTGCATTTTAATTGTTTCTCTTTAGGTGTATGCATTAAGATACTATGTTATTACATTATTTTTCAGATACTGCAATACGCTATTTTTCCTTCAACCTTAGATACACACGAAGCATTACCGTGCATGCCAGAGAATCTAGAAAAAAGTTATAGGTGGGCCTGGTACCAACACTTAAGGTTTCCCAATACTTCCCACTATAAGCCCTTGTTTTCAGTTGCACCTTTGCCAAATTTTACCTGTTTTGGCTGAAGTTTTCCATACCAGCTATCTGCCTCAAGTTAATTTTTTTTTAATTTTCAGTCAAAATGGTTCAGCCGTTTCCAAGAACAAAGCTAGGAATAAAATAAGTTGTTCTGCCCATGTTAAAATATTCTGGTGACCTATTCTTTGAAAAGCTTGAGCATCCCCATGCTTTGGGACGGGGGATGAAATTTGGCAGGGAGAATCCTGTGAAAATCTACCAGAATCTGGCCAAGTTATTCTGGGCTACTGTAGGTCATGCTGGGTCCAGGTCTCTAAACAGAGCAGGGAGACTGTCCAGGACCCCCCATAGCTAGTGCCCAGGCAGCATAGAGAAGGAACCTGCCTGCCTGATTTGAACACAGAAGGGACAAGACTTGCAGGGGGACTGGCTGGGCAAGAAGAGACAGGGCCTGGGAGCCCATTAGCTTGAAGAAGTGGAGGCTGAGAGGTGTCTAGGTGAGGAGAATGGAGCTCAGACAATAAGCCAAAGGTGGGGAAAGAGACAGGACTGAAAGAGAGTAGTTGGGGCAGAAGAGCCTGTGCCCACCAGAGCATACTCCCCTCCAGAGCCTGGATGGAACCTAAATTTTTTTTTAAGTCTCACCATTCCTCTACCATTGTCATTCATATTCATGATGATAATGGGTAGTCACTGGGCCAGGTAAAGTGAGAGAATGATTCCACAGCCCAGTAGACAGGGCACTAACCTATGATGAGGAAACCCAGGTTCAAGTCCCTGCTCCAATTACTCTATTTATAAACAACAATCTCTCCTCTTGAAGCTGTCCCACGTTAAGACCCACATCAGTGTATCCCAGCAGCTAGGGCACTCTCCCACATGTGAGACCCAAGTTCAAATCTCATCTCCACATCAGGCAAAAACAGGGGGAACTGAACCCAAGTCTCCCAAATCCCTGGTGAGTGTCCTAACCATTGGGCAAAAGCTTATAAAGGAAGGCATCACTGCCACCTCTTCCTACAGCCCTTTTGTGAATCTAGTTTTCCTGTTCTTTTGTCAAAAATGACTGAATAGCTAAACAAATATGTTTTCAGGCTGAAATGAAATTGTTTTTAAATTTAGTTTGGACTCTGATTGGCTGAAAGATTAAATATATATAGGTTTCAATTCAACCCCAAACTGAAAACCTTTATTTGATTTTTCAGAATTGCCAACGAACCCAAAAATGTCCATTATTTGCCCAGCTCTAATTACAAGTTAGGAGATGCCAGAGTTAAGGATGCCTCTGCAACCTTAGTTCAGCCCCCTTGTGCATATGCATTATGATGAAAATACATTTTCCTCCACAGGATGGGGCTGCTGTGGGAACGAATCAGGGTTGTGTGGTGAAGGAGACTTTTGTCTATAGCACAATTTCTCAACCTTTTTGATACCAGGGACTGACTTGCTGCCTTCCTAAACTGTCAGGGACTGGCGCTGGTGCATGGACCAGTCATTGAGAAACACTGGTCTATAGGACCCCTGCTTCATTTGTTGCAAAAACATGTGTAGTAAATGAAGCAGAGGATTGCAGGAAGAAAAAGGATGGTCTCCTGATTAAGGCAGTTGAATGCTGCTTGGAAAACTGAATTTTGTCCCCACCTCTGCCACAGAGTTACTATGTGATGCTAAGCAAGTCACTTAAACCAGACTTTTCACAGGCGGTCACTAATTGTGTGTTCCCCATTTTTTGGGTGCTTGACTCAGATCTTGGGGTCTAATTTGCAGAACCGCTGCACACTCACAATTGCATTCAATGGAGCTGTGCTTTGACTATATGAAGTACTGTACAATGCTACATATACTCAAACATCAGGACTAGACATCTCAAATTCCTCTGTGCCCCAGCTCCTCATCTGTAAAATTGGGATAATAAGCAACTCTCCCTGCTCCCCAATCTCTCTCAGGGGTGTTGTGAAAAATAAATTAATAATTTGAGAAGCACTCACACTATGTGATTAGCACCACAGAAATGCCCAAAAGAAATAAATAATTCTGTCTTAAGAACAAAATTTGAACAGTGAGCACTAAAGAAGGCATGGGGATGCACAATGAACAAGGGGAAAAAATAATAGCATATCATTAAGTGAGCACCACCCATCCTGTGCATTGAACGAGGTGGGTGTTGGATGGGGGAAAAACAAAAAACAAAAACTAGTGATCATAATGCATATGCACAAGGGCTCTGAATTAAGGTAACACAGTCTATGCCTTCTCCACCATACACTGAAGTCAGGCAGACCTATACAACTCAGCCTTCTTTCATTTAGGATGTTTGGAAGACTAACATCCAGACTGTACCATACCTCATGCTCTAGTTCAGCCACAAGTTACTGGGCTTGATGTACAAATTCTACAGTCTGTGTTATGCAGGAAGTCAGATTAAATCATAATGGTCATTTCTGGCCTTAAAAATGCTAGAACAAAAATACATTTCCCAATCCCCTGACTAGGGATAATACAAGCCATTTTCAGTAGTCAATGGTACTTCCTTTAGACAAGGCCTCATCCCTGCTCAAATTCAGCACTAGAGTTATTCAGGATGGTCACAAGCTGTTGCAACAGGGAAAGTATTTCCCCCTTGCCACTGCCTCATTTCAGATAACTGTGCCATATTAGAAAGTTTAAAAAAAAAAGTTATCCTCTGACAGAAACCAAGTCTAGAAACTTTCAGCAATTGAAGACAAACAACCCAAACTGTAGCAATCACTAACCTTTCAGCCGCAGTGTTCGTGGCAGAACGAAAGTTCACCATTCAATCAACATCTCGTGTATAAATAATGTTTGGAATGGGCTACCATTTATCAGCAAGTTTCATAAAACAATGAGTGTACATATGTTCTGTACAGTACTAGACACAAAGCTCAATTTATACATCACACCAACCATCCAGAGGGGGTGTCTAACTATATTCCTCTTTGGAATAAGATTCCTTAACCCCTATTGTCCCAGGATGCTTGCAGCTAATCTGAGCATTGGCTGGAGACAGACATGAAGCACTCACTCCCCCTATGCCTCATGTACTTTGTACCCAATTTGATTTCCTGCACAGGGCTGTTGCTAGACTAGCTCCAAATGAGCCATTTTAGAGAATAGCTAGAAAGAAGCCTTCTTAAACAAGATTCACTAGATGGCAAGGCCAGTGCAGGACATAGTCTCATCTCCACCCATCCACTTGCACAAGGCTTGTTCCCTTTCCTCACTGCCTTACCGAGATCATGTTCCCGATGATGCAGCTGTAGAGCTTGACTATCTCATCCTTGTCCAGTTTCTCATCTGCCATGTGTGTGTTGTAGATCAGTCGGAGCTGCATGAATGTAGCTATTAGGAATTGGTCAATGTGGCCAGACATGGCTTCTGCTTTGTCCTCCTGTCTGAGGACCTCATCAATCTAAGAGCAAAACACCCCAGACACATTAAAGTTGATCCTCTGCAAACAGTACAGGAACAATGTTTAACTTAACTAATGGAATAGTAAGTGTGGGGAAAGCTAAGACATCTGCTTTCTAAAACTTCATCTAAAAATTAGTGACTTTGCACTTCTACAACTAATCCCAGTACATTCAGTGGCATTAGTGATCCCTTGCTTAGCTATGACTTGTATCCTATATTCATGGAACTGTGCAGAATTTTGAGTGAGCAAGAGCTTATATTATGAATTTTGTAATTATTGGTCTTGTGTAGTTTTCTGGGCATGGCGCTCCCTAACAGAATGGTTCAAGGGTTATGAGTCAGGGCATGCAACTCCTACACTTGGGATATGCAAGGCAGTTTCATCAAAAACTAACCCCCGCTGGCACAACATGGAGGTGAGTCATCCAGTAACCTGAACGGGTATCAGGATAAAAGCAAAGTTGAAATAGGAAGAGTCTTAAGACACCATCACCATCTCATCATCACTGACAGCCATCACCAGCTCAGAGCTGGAGTCTATATGGATGATGATCTAGTACAAGTTCC